CCGACTATGATCTGCCATTCGCAAGACCAATGTCATAGGTAGCAATTGCTTTAGATCCAAGTCCTCTATTGTATCTGTATTCATCAAATTCACAGTGGAGCCACCATCAACTTGTACCCCTGGAATTAAAATGCCATCGATTGATACATCGATTGTTGATGCTACCGGATCTGGGTTTAAGCTAACTTCATGAATTTCTTTAGTGCAGGATCTTCATCATATTAACGCTGAATTCAATGTAGATTGACATTCCGGTGCTACAGCCAAAAGTTGCTTCATTGTAATTGAAGGCTGAATAGCATCCAAATCCTTCAGAATGTCGTAGGGTTCCATATTGAAAGTAATTCCCAATGCTCTTTTGCATTTCATTGGTTTCGAATTTACTCCGTTCAGCAGCAATTCCTTCTTGGCGATTTGGATTGCCGCTAGTAACTTTGCCAACTTTTCTACTACTAAAGGTTCCTTTAATGCATAAGATCTTTTATTGGGTTGTACAAGTATTGATATTTGGTCAGTTGGAATCGATCTTGATGGTCCCGACAAATTAGCACGTGGAACCAAATTGGATTCCTCAGTCTGTTGAGGTCTCAATATTGGGATACATCCCAATATTAATATTAGTTTGTTTAGCTCCGTGGACGGCACTACTTGCTCTTTTGTGATTGATTCATCCAAGTCTTGAATTGAATTCTTATCTTTTTGTTAGCCTCTGGTAAGCACTGCGTTCACCATCTCGACATGATGTACTGGTGAGTCTTGTTGAACAAAACCTTTGTCCTCCGTCGGTTGGCTTGTTTACATTTGTTAGTCTCGATTATTATAATTAAAGGACATATTGCACTGTTGATAAGTGTGACGAGACTGCTTACAATTTCCACATATTGGAGCATAATCATCACTGGCCCTTGGATTAGGACATTCATTGGCATAATGACCAATTTGTGTGCAACGATAGCAACGAAGTGGTCTCCTGCCAATTCCTTAAGGGATATTGGGTGTCTCTACGGGTATATAACGGCTAGGTCTTTTCTATATCAGATGAGTAAAGGATCCTCGTTGACCCATTATTACTGTAGAGTCTGGCATTGGCTTCATCATGGGTGGATATTGATGGTATCCTGGTTGGTTCATCGCAAATCCATGAGTATTGGATACACCTTCTTAGTGAAATTTAGAATTGAGAAAATTATAATAATTCTTGTTTTGTTTATTCACTCGATTTCCATTCCAGCCAAATCTATTATTCGTTTGTACTTGATTGACATCCCACAAAGTTGGTTGAGTCATTATCTGATTACTGAGTTGTTGCTTCCATAAATTCCAACAGTTGGTGGTAATATGCTTGCCCTCGTAAAAGGTACATTCTATAGTCATTTGGGGTGGTGAAGGACATTCTGTTACTAAATGACCTTGCCCCTTACAATTACTGCACCAGAAATTGGGACGCATATTGGTTGGTTTATGCCTTTTTTCTTTATCCTTGGTCAGATTCACAACCAATTCATCCATTTTTTTTGTCAATGTTAACAACAATGACTCATTGGGATCCCTCGATACCAATACATTTGGCAATTTCTTCGTAGGTATTGATTTTTGATATGCGAAATAAGGCGCATACGGGTGTGATGATGATGGTGGTATAGCCTGCAATGGAACGGCATCCACTATTCCCTGTAGAATTGTACCATAATCATTCCTTCCCAGATAACTTCCTGGTGCATCATTCCAATTTATCATTTGATAACCTCCTTGAGATGGAATCATCGTGGCTCTAACTGTTAAGTTCTAGTCATAGTGACATTCCTTCCATACTTTTGCTCACTCAAGAGATGATGTAATGGTGGTTAATTGGGCCTCCTTTACAAGCATCTTCAATTCTGGTGGGTGTAGTCTATTAACCAATATGGACAACACAAACGATTTTGGCATTTGGTTATTTGGCCATTTTCAAAGTATATCTGCTATACGACCATAATATGATTGTACCGCTTCCCCTGGTACTATTCTGCTATTCATTAATTTTTCTCTAAGACGTTCTTCAAAACCAATTGGTCGAAAATGGGCTAAAAATGTATTTTTCAATGCCTCCTAATTGATAAATTGTCCCACAGGTTGGCGGTTATACCACTCAAATGCTGTATCTTTCAATATCGTTGGTAGCCATCTTAACCAAATATCTTCAGTTTTGTCATTATTGGCTACACATGTCGTTAAGAATTGAAACAAATGTTGATCTAGATCCGCACCTGGCAAACCCCAAAAAGTAAGTAATGGTGCAAAGCTAGTCGTTTGATTGCCCACTACACCTATTTGAACTGCAATCGAAACTGCTGGTCCTCCGGACGCCATTAAAGATGTCGGTGTTCCGCTCAATTCCTTATTAAAATAAAAACTATCTCCCGCAAATGTCTTTTTCGGACTTCCAGGCCTTCTCGATTGACTATTATTATCTCCAAATAATTTCATTGGTTGAATATGAGGTGAAAACGACAGGCTTTGATATACTCTGAATTGGTCTTTATTGACAAGTGATTTATGCTGATCTTCAGAACTAGTCTTGTTAGAATCGGACGTATCTCCAATTGAAAAAATATCCAATAGGGTACCTAATTCCTCTGTGCCTTCCTCGCTTTCCATTAACGGCTTCGAGAGATATGCTGGACTATTAGCTGTGCTCTTCACAAATGCTCTTGGCAATTTCTTTAATGGTATGTACTTCTGAAATATTAGAGGGCGATCGTCTTCTGGATACGATCGGATATGCCGACAGGCATGCAACCACGGCTTAATCCAACTTTGTTGATGCTTCTTTTTCAATTTACAATCTCGCTCGTTACACAATAAATTTCTTGCTTGTGATCTCTTTGTTCTTTCCTTTGATTGCTTTATTCTCTTTGCTGTTAAATTTTCATTCTTAATAACCATATTCTTTCATTATTTCTACTGAGTTTGCTTCCTAATCTCCTTTACTGCTTCGATAGTTAATTCCTAACACTCAATAATGTTGTCAATCCCTGGCAGCGGTGCCAAAATGTGGTTGTCGTTTTACTTATTCTGGAAGAAACCTCCCAGAATAAATCCATATAGGGGAATTTGAATATAGGGAAAGATCATGTATATGAGCTCCAATTGTTAGGATCACACAATTAAGTGCTACTGCTAAATGCTTACAATACCAAAGAACACTTAACTTTTCCTCCTACTATCCATTCTCTCATATCAATATGATAACAATTACGACATTGATTTCAGTACCCTGTGTAATTCGCGAACACACAAGCACAACCCAAACCCTGGAACGAACAACTTCGAATCCATAAAATCTGATCGAAATAATTCCTTCGATTACAATTCCTCTCCACTGAACTTACAACCTTGTGATAAACAGTGGTTGGAAACTTCCATACATTATCAATCTTTCACAACAATTGATAAACAATGATCCATAAACAACTTCGTAAATCAAACATTGATTCATAAAATCGATCATTTTCACTAGAATCAATACTAACACAAAAGAAACAAGAAAACTAAGAAGAAGAGATAGCACCAAGCTTATCCTCGGCTCAGTACTATCGCAGTCTGGTATTTTCTTCCCCTCTCCCATCCTCCTTATACTACCCCGAGATACCAACTCCTATACTACAGATGATAACTACTTTTCTTGACTATTCATCCATTCTACCTGCTAAACCACTTTTTCAGCAGTTATCTATCCCTGTTTATACTATACACTAGATATCTACATTTTGAAAATAACTACTTATTCTACAATTCTTCTATTGATAATCTTTTTGACATCTTTACTATGTAAGGTTGATTGATAAGCATCAATAAGTATAACTAGTTCCCAAATGTAGACTTGGTATAGAAACTAGCCCTTACAAGTGCCACATCATTAAAGATAATAAAAAAATCAAGAAGGTTGTCATTTACTAAGAGCTAAATTTTTAATAAGGCAACATTTTTTGTATTTTTTATTGATTGCTTTGTGTATTATAGTTTTAAGACTATTGTGGAAAATGATACAAGTTGAATATGATTCTCTATCAACTTCCAAACATTTTCTTATCTAAGTATGGCCTTTATTTTGAGTTGCCTTATGTAATAGTTATTAAGATTTATAAGCTTGTTAGAATCTCAAACCATCATACTGCTACAACTTCCAAGTTCTATCATCTTGTTCTTCTAATTTCTATATTATTTTAAAAAAAAAAATTGCAAGAATAAAGAGCACTCACTCACTTTGTCTAAAGTTCTTTGGAAGAAAATATAAGGAACACTTGCTTACTTCATACTTACTAATTGTGCTAAATAAAAAACATGATTCACTTGTACAAATCTTGTATTTATAATTTAGGAACATAGTTCACTCAATCTAAATATTGTAGTAGTTTTTTCTTTGATCTTTCATTATTTTGATATAATATAAGCAACAATGCTACAAAAAGAGGTTCTATATTCAAATAATTATATAAAACAATAATTTAGATAGAAATATAAAGCTTGAGCCACTTAGCTACAATGATGATATTTTAACCTAATACACAATGAAGTTTATATAAATATTATTGTTTAATAAATTCTGGAAGTATAGTTGTTTGACAAATGAACTTACAATAAGAGTACTTGCGCTAATAAATTAAGCATTTTGATTAGACTATAGTACATGTTAAAGAACTTTTCATAGCATGAAGCTCTTGAATCATTGATGTTTGGAAATTTTTGAAGTTAGTTTTGAATTTGTATAGACTTCTCATCTACTATTGTTAGCATTGAAAATTGTATAGTGATATTGTTTACTATATACCTTGTGAATGTAACAATTTTAATGCTTACCAATGTGTTATTAAATTCTAAATACATTTTTATGAATTAAATATATAAAGTTTATTGTAGTTTCTAAAATTTAATGGATTTTGAAAAAGAATCTCTTTACATACCATATCCACACATATCAAAAGTAAAAAAGTTAAAGTTATTTTTGATATAAAACATGGTTATTATAAAAAATATATAATTGATTTGTAAATTTCTTGATGTTACATGTCCATCTAATAGATTGATGAATGAACTTAACGTTCACAGCTATGTCCATTTCAACTAACTTTATTCAGTTCCAATTGCTTTATGCAAATAGGCCACGAATAGATTAAGTCTTTTCTGAAAAGCAGTAATGAGCAATTGAATGGAATGCCTAGTTTATAGCAACATAACGCCGACATGAAATCGTCAGACAGATTTGCAACAACGAGCACTGGAGTTAGCATTACGTGAATCTGACGCAGCTACACCGACTACCACAACATTAGTTTGATTCGGATACCACACAAACTCTTTTTGAATTACACAGAGGAATCTTTTAATATTACAACACCCTTCAATAGTGGACGCTAACTCAGCAACACAATTCAATAATACGTGTGTGATGTTGCTGAATTCGTTGCAGGATCAGGCATAAAGCTCCAAACCCTGGTCATCAAGCATGCAATTACACACACACGCACTTACACAAACTATGACCACGAAGATGAGGCAGCGAATCATCCGTGTAGATAACAAGATGAGTCGCATGGAAACCCGCATTTCAATGTCATGTTTCTGTGTTGATGACATTCAACCTCGAGCGTGAAGCTTGCATGGGAGATCGCATGAGTATATCCCAGAATTGGATGTGAAAATTGTGTACTAGTGGGTGACAGAGTAGTACCTCTCCCATGAACTTGCGAAGCGCGTCGGCTTTGCGTTCTTCACCGCTGTCAGTCACTCCCATGGCAGCCTGCTTTTGTTCAAACTGCATAGAAAACCAAGCATGTCAAAGGTTCTCAAGCAAGGTATTCAGTTTCGAACATGAGGTCATTTATATTCGTTCGAATGAAGGAGCGAGAGCATCTCTATAACTGCGTGGAGTTCGTGACAATTGCGATCTGCATGCGATTTTGCGAAGCCCAAACAATGGATTCATCACAATGTTCATCGCAGGAGACAATGGTCGCAGAATTTGTTCTAGAATGGCTTGATGGTGAGGTGTGTAAAATCGCGGTGAATCACTCCTGTACCAGCGTATGCTCTATGTGTTGGCGTGTGTCTGGGTGGAGGTCAGACAACGATGCTTGAGGTAGCTGCAGCTTTTCGACATCGATCTCTGGCTCTCCTTCCACCACAACGTGCCACCAATCCATAGTGTACCATTTCTGAAGGTGAATCGTCAAAAGTTTGCCGTCTTCTGCATCATTTCCAAGGCAACGTTGTGATTTTAGAACTGTTTTGTTTTTTTGTTTTTTTGTTTATTTGTTGATTTTAGACGTATGGACAGAGAGAGGAATCATTAGATCTTTTTTAGGGCATCAAGAATGAAGACAGGAGAAACTAAAACTTTGAAAGTTTTGTGCATTGGACGTTTCTCCAAGGGCGGAAATTTTTGAGCACACTATGGAAAACTTACCTAGATTCCAGAAGCACTCGCTTGGTTTCACAGGTTTGTTGAGGTCGCCCTGCACACAAATGATCGCATTCACTCATGTGTAGTTGCTGACTTGAAATTCTCACGTATTTAAGCCTTTCGGTCTTGCCTGGAATTTTGCTGTGACATCATGTTTGATTCTGTAGCAGGTTTCTTAGTCAACTGCTGACTGATGACTGATTGGAGATGAACATAATAGCAAGTAGATAATCTCAGCAAGATGGGTGGTGTGATTTGTGTTCCAATGTCACACAAGCCTCGTGAAGAAATGGATGATGTTCAAATTGAATCTCGCAGTTTCATGAATCATTTAAAACTGTGAAGAACGTCTCAGTGATGTTTGGCAAGAGGGATTCGAATGCGTGAAATGGTGGATGGGTTTTCAGAGTTGTAGACTAGTAGTCGGTCAGGAATAGCACAACCATGGACAAATTCAACACCACTGAGATTCCATGGAAATTTTACCTCCAAAAGAGGTATTTCACCTTTCAAGCCAATTTTCAGATACCTCGGTTGAATTTCGCAAACCACAGACTTGGCTTTGGTTCCGGCGGGCACCGGAAAGATTAACGCAGTATCAGTGAGGGTTTGTGTCCAGGAGTAGTGCCCAAGGTCTGCTCCGTTGCCGCTATTCGGGTCTGAATGTCAAAGTAACAAGCATATCGTAGTCAGCTGCATTGCCACCACCTACTCGCAGTAGACAACGATCTGGGCTCTTAACCCTAGTTCTGGTAACTGTAACATCTCTCGAGAAAAATCTCTGAGAAATTTGCCAAGACACCTATAGACACGATTCTCAAACCAAGCTCACTAGTTTACAATGGGTCCCATCATTCTGTGTTCCAGACAGTCTCATGAAGTTTTGCAGGTGTTGGGAAGTATCAACTGCAAGATCTATCTAATAACATCTGCTTTCCACAGCCATATGCTCATCAGATACTTCGCGAATGTCATGTGGTTGTAACTTACCCAAGTCCTGTGGTTTTTCACCTTTCTCCAATCCTTTCTTCTTCCCCTTGCAGTGAATCTCAATGTTCCCAGGTTCACCCGCCAACCAATTGTTTGTCACCGGCTCCACTTCTGACAGTGTAGTAATCTCTGTCTCAGATTTCATATCAGTTTTCGTATCATGGTTTGTATCGGTCTGGTGATACAACCCGCTGTTATTTGCAACAAAAACCGCAACCTCGGGATCCTCGCACATGTCCTTTTGTAGGTATTCCGTGGGAGTGATGATCACCGTCTCTTCATCCTCAACCGCACTCCCTTGCTTCTTCGAGCTCTCAGACGTCGAACTTACGGAGCCTTGGAGGCCTTTCGTGCTCTCCGAGACGCTTACATGGGGACTGTCTTCCTCCTTGGTCCCCGGGTCATCAAAAATCTCGTCAAGCTTGGCAACCTTGTCCGGGCCCGCGAAGACATCCTCGATATCGTCGCCGTCCACCCGCATCCGCTTTGCAGCGAATAGCATCTCCGAGACGCGGGCATCCACCCCTTCCTGCATTGCAATCCCGGTCTTCCGAAAGAGATACTCAATCACTGTGGACAGCAAATCCAGAGGCTGTTGTTGGTGCTCCTGGAGAAGATACCTCAGTACTTCGTCAAACGGCCGCATGCTGTTGGTAGCGTAGACGGGCTGCGAGGAAAAGTATGGATCTGGGTTATAATCTTCGTCGTTATCTTCATCTTCATCTTCATAGCCATCCTCCTCTTCATCTTGCATGTTGATAACACCCACCACCGCTGGTCTTTCTTCTGAGTCTTCTTCTTCCTCTTCGTACTCCGAAATAATGGCCATGCTCACAGACTTCGAAATCTGTTTCAACTCTGACTTTGGAGGGCTTATTGCGCCTTCAAACCTCAAGGAGCTCTTGCCAGACCTAAAGCAAAACACGCAATTGTATGAAACCTCGGTGATTTTCCAGCAATTGCAGCAGTTAAGACCTAATTAGACCCTTCTGGCTCACATGCCACTGGTGATGGCAGTCACTGGTTGTAGTAGAGATTCGCAATCTGCAAGGGAATGCGAATCACTGTAGGGTTGCGCAATTTATGCTCCCCATCGGTGGGTTCACAGAGTGCATCGACAAATCTAGAGCCGACTCTTAAAAATCGTGGACATTAGCAGTAAGATACGGAGACATAAGACCTATCCTCAGTGAGTGACCAATACATGTCAGTCTTACAAACTCTTTCCTGCACCATGTAGGTTACCGATGTTCGAGATGAGTATGTGACAGATTCTACCCAAGGAAGAAAAAGCAGAAGAAGAAGAAGAAGAAGAAGAAGACCAAAGCAGGTTCAAGTTTCCACGACGCTAACTGATCAAAGGTTTGATCAAAGCGCCGAAACAACAACAATCATTCAGCATCAATGGTTCATGTCACAACGGAAGCATGCGTCATTCAAACCTCCCAAACCAGCACTCACATACCTGAAAAAACACAATCACAGCATTGAAGTCGCACAGAAAAAACTGAAGCTGATCAGTCTGAAACCGAATAGCACTGTGGGCAAGAAGCTGCTGCTGCTGCTGCAGGCAGTATCCACACATCCATGGCTTCAAGCACAAAATGCCACTGCAAGATTGTTGACTGTTTCGTGAATTGTGACGTTCTAATGAAGGGTGTTGGGAGGTTGTGGATGTTGGAGGCATGGCTGTTGCGATCAGTGAATTGTAAGGCTAGACTTAAGATTGTTGCAGCTCCATTATGGTTTTGGCTTCACCGCTTCAGATCATTCACTGCTCAGGGAATTGCTCAGAATCAGTGAATTCTGGACTGTGAAAGGTGGATCCTTTCTAGTAGAATACATGGTGTCTGGTTCGCCGAGCATGTCTGTTCTGAAGCACAATTGAAAGCTAATCCAAAGCTGAAGCCTATTCCAACTACACAATTCATGATCTTGTTCTTCCACTCTCCCTGAATGCCTCTTGAAACAAAGCTTCGTTGTGTGGATTTGGGGCCTAGACAAGTTTTTTTCACTTCATTGTGGTCGTGATGAGAAACTTTTTGTGTTGGAGGTTGATTGTTTTGGAGGTTGTGAGGTTTGGAAGTTGTGTGAAGTGAGGTGGGTCCGTTGAATGAATTGATAACATGTCGCCCTGAACAAAAAACTTAATTATAGAAATGTGGTTTGATTATATTTATATGATGTTTTCTTAAAAAATTGGATTCTAACTGTTGAATTTACTTACTTGGAAAAAAAATGGATCAATGATAGTGTGGATGTAGTTTAAGGATTTTAAAACTTTGCAATACAAAATTTAATGCTTGAAATTTATTGAAGCAAAGGGAATTTTTACAATGTTTGGGTAATCTTACTCAAATTATGTCTTATTTATTATCAATTGTGTATATTTTTAGGCTTTTTTAGAACCTCTTGTAATTTTCAAAATCTTTTCAACACATAAAACCATATTTAATGGTTTTTAAGAATCATGTACAATTTTTATAAAATATCCTTGGTCAACAATCCTTGTTGATATATATATATATATATGAACTATGAAATATGTTTCTTTTATGATTTAGTTAAACTATTTATTTGAGTTTCTTTTGGTTGTGTGATTTGGAAGTCTTAAAAGTTTTTACAATAAGTTTATAAATTAAGAAGTTTACAAGTTAAATAAATTTACCAATTAAGAAGTTAAGTAAATAAAGGATTAGTTCATATAAAATTACAAGCTAAGAAAGGAGAGTAAATAAGTAATATTAAGAAAGATTTGGTGACATTTAAAATCATACATGTGCAAACTGATTATTTGTCTTTGCAAAATATGTCAAAGCAAATGAACAGAACAAAACTATTTTATAAAAAATGAAGAGATATATTCTAAAATATTTCATATTATTTTTCTTATTTTATATTTTATTTGTTGCATCAATTTATAAACAAGAAAAAAAATGGCACAAAATTAGAATAATACTAACTAAGAACAAATATTATTGCATTGGTGCCACGCTTATGTAACTGAACTGGAATTGGCTTGAAAAAAATATGCAACTTTAAAAAAAATCAATGTATTCTTTTAATCCAAATATTATATTTTGATTCCAATAATTAAAAATATAATTAGGCCTTGATATTCAAAATTGTTACATAATATTTATCTAAATTTAAATAACTTGGATTTGATCATATCAAAAAGTTTAGTTATACTTTTAACAATGATAGTAACAAAAATTATATTTTTTAAATAGTTTTTGAAAATTTCAAAATAAAAAATACTTAATACCAATAGAAATGAAAGGGTCTTCAATATATATAAATATATATATATATATATATATATAATTATTAAATTGACCCAGGCATTTACTAAATTGACCCACCATCGTCAAAAAACTCTCCATTGCTAGATCTTTATTGATTAAAAACCAATGAAAAAATGATTGATTTTGTAAATGCATGGTTTGATTTAAAAATTCTATCTGTCTATCTATTTAGTATTAAAAAATACATTACACATCAAAATGCCGTCTTATATTCTCCTTCCAGTAACAAACGAAAACCTTCGGAAACAACATGGCATATATCATCAACATCCGCGAGAGAAAACGAATGACGTCCAAGAGTAACGAATGCCATCCCAGGGCGACAGTTGGAGGACCCTCCAGACAGGCCCACGTTACGCCAAGTGGCAACGAGGTCACTGTGCCAAGTGGAGACGAAATGTGCCCCCATGTTTTTATGGGGTTCCTACGCCGACGAGCTGGCCTCGTCCAAGTGGCATCGGTGCAATGCATGCGCATGCCCTGAGCCCGTTTCAATCTAATTAATAATAATAAACTTCGACTACTCAGTGGACACATTTCGCACAATTTTCGTTACTCCTTTCTTTCCCGATCCTTGCCCTTCACCGTCCCTGATTTGGTTTCTCTTGTTGCGTGAATTTCAGTGCGTTACAGTTGTTTATGTTAATGTTTTTGTTTGTTTGTTTGTTTGTTGGTTTGTATGTATCAATGAGGGGTTGAGTTGGTGAAGGTTGTTGGAGGCATTACGGGGTAGGGATTACGAGCACGATGATGAACATTATTGCGTTGGCGATGTTACTGTCCTCGCTGGGCTCCGTTATGGTGCTCTCACCGGAGCCTATGCTGATCAAGTCGCCCGGCGATGGCGAGAGTCCCTTGCAAGCAGCGAAGGAGGCTGCTCAAGGGACGCTGTTGAAGGCGGAGGAGACGGCCGGGTCGGTCAGGGATACGGTAGTGGAAGGTGTGACGAGGCCCGTCGGGAAATGGTTCAGGAAGAAGCCGGAGCCAGAGGACCAACTGGCCGCTGCTAGAGCGAAGGCAGCCGAGGCGAAGCATGCATTTGAGGAGGCAAGCGCACAGCTTAGAGATGCCGCGGTTGGGAAACTGGGTTCCACTGCTGAGGCCGCGAAGGACAAGGCCGTTGATTCTGGTACTGTTCCTCACATGCAAAGCCTATATCTGTGCATGTGAATGTCCCATGTGTGGTCGTTCGCAATTAGGTTGGTCAAGGACTTTGTATTTCAGAAAGTCTTGGGGTTTCAATATACACTCGTATGAATCACCTGCATGTCGAAGTCTCATTCCATCTTAGTTCAATGCTGCCCTTCGCTGCTTCAGACAGACAATGAATGTATCATTGGAATCGAGATCTTGCGCGCATTCAGAGCGTTTGACTCCGCCACCACCTTTGTAGGGTTGAGTGAGGGATAGGAAAATATTGTTATTCAAAAAAGTAACTGTGAGCTTCTGAATGCTTTTGAATCGTTTAAGCGCGATCTTACTTCCTGTTTTGTTGTCATTTGCTGACTGCAGCTTCTTTTCTTGCTCTCTTTATTTATTTATTTATTTATTTATTTTTAATATCTGCACTTGTTGCGCAGGGAAGTACGTGGGTGACAAAGCACACCAAGCGGCGGGAGGTATCAAGAACGCAGCCGAAACAGCGGGAGAATGGGTAGGAAATGGTGCTAACGCTGCATACAACAAAGCAGGGTCTGTAAAAGAATCAGTCACTGATGCTACCGCCCACGCTCTTGACGCTGCAGCTGATACTTTCGAATGGGCTAAAGAGGGGACGTATGATGCAGCTCAAGATGCCAAAGACGATGTGCATAACGCCGGTGTGGCAGCAAAAGATAGGACCCTGGACGCTGCGGAATACGCAAAGGATGAAGTTACTGAAGGTGTTGGAAACGCTCGTGACGCCGTGGTTGACAATGTAGTGTTGGGAGTGGACAAGTCTAAGGGAACAGCCATTGATGCTGCCGAGAAGGCGAAGGAGACAGGAGAGTACGCTGCCCATGAGACGAAAGATGCTGGTCATGGAATCCTGGGGAAAATGAAAGACGCAGCGTGCAAGACTAAGGAGTGTTTGTTGGCACGCGCACATGAGGCAGGCTCCTTTTTACCGTTTTTGGGGCAAGGAGTTGGCTATGTGTACAATGACGCAAAGACGGCGGGTGACGACATCGCAAGCTCTGCGAAGAAAACAGCCAGCAATGCAGCTGAGAATGTCGGCGAGAGTGTGAAGGGTTGGACGAGGGATGGCGATCATAATATTCTGGAGTCTGCGAGACGGTCAGCCGATAGCTTGCGAGACAGAGTGGGTCGGCATTACAGGGAAAACCTTGATTCTGCAACGGACACTGCCGAGGGATATTACGACGAGGGAGGGCGTCGTTATATGAGCGCGAGAGATTACTACGGCGAACCCAGTCAACATTACTATAGAGGAGTGGATGGTAGGCGACGATACAGAGACGCTCCTTCTAGATTTTACGACATGACGAGAGATGAAGCTGAAGATTACTATGATTGGGTGAAGTATAGGACGAGACGTGCGTACAGGGGCGCAAGAGACAGAGCGGGAGATTACTACGAGGATGTGAGGGACAGAGTTGGAGGTTACATCCCTGGCCGACAGGAGGAGGACACCGGAGATTATTATGGAGCTTCAAGGCAGAGAGCCGGCGATAGAGACACAAGAGGCGACTACTTTGAGAGCTCGAAGTTAAAGCCAAACCAGGATCTCGGCGCAGTGGTGGAATCCATGGGCTGGCGCCGTGTGGGCGTTGTGTCCCCAGATCATGTCTCCGTCTCGTCACCTAAGGACGTTGTGATTGGCGATGTGAAATATGTGTGGCAAGGAATAGGGCGACCTCCAACTCATGTTACTGAAGAGCTTCATGACACTGTGTTTCGTCACCCTATGAACGGTGAGGAAGGCGCTGCACACACACTTGGGGAAAAGCTGGGCCTTGTGAAGGATCACGCGAAAGAAGGAGCTGAGAGTGTGAAAGAGGGTGGCAAACGTGCCAAGGATCAAGCATATGATACCCTTCGAGCACCTGTAGACTCCAGAGGGAGACGAGGTGATCTACCCAATCACCCGGAATACGACGATTCAAGCGCTGAAGACGACTCGGTTATAACCAAAGGAACACGAGATCTGAAAGAAAGGGTGCGTAACGCAGGCCAGGCATTCGAGGCCCAACGCTCCAAAGCGGGGGAATATGCAGATGAAGCTCGTGAAGAGCTCGCAACTTCAGTTGGATTGGGGAAAGATCGGAAAATAAGTCATGATGGGGGGCGATCTCTCCGCACTTGGAAGGACGTGTTCTTCAGGAAGCCCGTGGGGTTCCTGTTAGCGGCAACGCGCGCCTTGCACCTCCTTACATTCTCCACGGTGTATGGCTCCGGCATGTGGATGACATTTGTGTCGGGCCTGATTTTGTCGAAGCACATCCCTCGGCAGCAATTTGGATACGTGCAGAGCCGCATGTTCCCTGTGTATCTCAGGATCTTGGCGTTGGGGCAGGGGTTGCTGCTCTTGCTGTATTCCATTTTGAATCCGTGGTTTTCTGCTGAGAGTGTAGAACGAGTGCAGTTGCTGAACTTTGCGGTGATGATTGCCTCCACTTTGCTCAACGCGTACGTTCTGGAACCTCGGGCCACAAAGGTATGAATTACTGCAGTCGTGTAAATTTCGTAATGACGGTTGCAGCCTCGTACTAAAATAATGATTCAGTTGTGCAAACCAGTCATTTTGTTTACTATAAAGCTTTATTAATGTTTACGCTTGGATGTGTGGATGAATTGGTTCAATAAGGAGGTTAATCAATGCTCATTTATTAACTTTTGGATCATTCAGTGACTCCAAAGTACCCAACCAGATCCTGAGGGATGAGATTTGCCCATGATACAAGTGAGCAACTCACTTTGTATTCAAATCTTTCTCTAGAGCGATCCTATACTGCCAATTGAAAAGTTGTTTGATCTGATATATTGATGCAGGCCATGTTTGAGAAGCTTAAATTGGAAAAAGAGGAAGGAAGAGGTGTGGAGGACGCAGGAACTGTTTTAACAAGTGGGAAGCAGTTAATGAGTGACCACAAAAAGAAGCTTGCCAGTGTCAATGAGCACTTCAGTATGCTACAGGGCTTCTCATCTGCACTTAACTTGATAAGTTTAGGCGGTTTGACCTGTCATCTATGGCATCTGGCAAACCGCCTTGTGGTGTAGTTAACTTCACCAGACGCTAATGTATGTAATCAGTGTCAAATAGAGCAGCTAGAGATCAGCTTCTGGTTGTTAGCTTGTGAAGAGATTTAGTGTCAGTTCCATATTTTTTGTAGGAGCGTCAGTTCCCGTGGAGATAGCGTGCGAAGATGCAGTTAGCAGTGGTTTGTCAACGTCATTCAGCTCTTTGTTTCGGAGACAGTACTGGGTTATTAGTGGGGTCAGAAGTTGATAAACACCAGGCGTTCGTCTCCACGACCTCGGACATCTTGAAATGTAAATTTTTTTTGACGTTGTCAGCGATGTACATAGAGGTGTTGAACTCTTCAGTGACAAACATCAATAGAAATGAACATCAATACTGTTATCCAAACACATTGAAATGTTGTAACCAGTTCTATATATATATATGCTCCAGAATCTATTTCAAATTCTAGATTACTCAACTTAAGAACATTTAAGAACCATTTTAATGTTGGCCTGTCCCCGATCTCTTCGAATGAATATTCGCAAGTTGTCGACATTAGTAATCACTTACTCGAGCGCAAAAATTGCAAGACACATTATAACCTGAAATAAGTTGCCCACAGGGAAATACCAACTGTCCCAACATTCAGCATAGAAAATGGAGCAATGCTGAATCCATATTTGAAGAACACTGTATTGTTACCTTCCCATCAATGACACAATTACATCAATTACCTTCCCAATAATGTCTAGTCCTTCCCATCAATGACACAATTACATCAATTACCTTCCCAATAATGTCTAGTCCTTCCCATCAATGACACAATTACATCAATTACCTTCCCAATAATGTCTAGTGAAACGTCATTTGTATTTCCAACAATTGACTGCATGCAGCAGACTGACGAAACAACTTCTAGTGGTCACACTGACATGCTATGATGCAAAGCTGCATCAAACAGATCACGTGTCCGTTCCTCGCACACTAACAGGCGGAAGCTAGTTTGCTGTACATAGTATGAGACGAGCACATTAACTTCATTGGCTCCCTTCATGTAACAATGACAACTGTTACGACGGTAACTATGATAAGTTTAGATCTATATTCCAACAAAGTAAAATGTATAGATAAAATCTATAACCTACTAAGATACAATTTCGTTACAAGACTCTTTAAAATGCCAATACGCGTGCACTGCGAAACTCATCAAAATGTGGATCTTCCTTAACAATCGGTCTACAAACATCTTCTTGCACTGATGCTAAGTCTACGTACCAGCACCATTGATAGAGAATTGATTTTTCCAGTTGCGATGCAGAAGCTGAATGATAGCTTAAGTTCGTTTAGAATGTTGATTGAGATCGATGCAAGTCAATATTCTTTGCAGGGAGAACAGCCGTGAAAGCAACGTCCTCCAAATCCTTGATGAACTCTACTTCTCTCTTGCGTTTCGGTGATGGAGGCGGAGAAAGTTCAGGAGATGAAGTTTCATTTCCTGAATTTAGTGGCTTCACTCTAATCGGAGACGGAATCTTTTCTAGCAGGTACTTCTCCTGCATCAAAGAAACGACTTAATTATAATTCTTTAACGTCACGAAATCCTTAACTCCTGCGGGAGCTTGACCACTTGAAATAGAAACAGAATTCAATCAGACAAACATGTCACATTGAGAACGCGCAACAAACTTGTCCACAATGATTTGTCAACTTAATTGGAGTGACTAAAATCTGAGAACATGAATATTTAGACAAATTATGTTGACATGGATGGGTCGTTTTCATTCTGTGTACTGACACTAGCGACGAGGTGAAAAAATTATAATCCAACTATGACAGTAGTTCACAAAAAGCCACGTGAATACCCTCAAACTGTAAAGTCTTCATAACCAAGTGTAGAACAAACTCATCGTACGTAGAGGAACTGTACCTCCATTTGAATTTGGAGATGTGCTCCTGGAGAGCTTAATTTCGGTTCAACCGACTCAACTTCCATTGCTTCATGGTTATTCGGAGAAGCCTGTCAAAAAGAAAAAAACATGATCTAGCGATGATTATAAAATGGCAGTAGATGAGGATACTTCGCTATCCAAAACCTCACTCCGCTAAATGTGAGAGTTGTGTCACGAACATGCGCTAGATATTGGATCACGCAAGCTAATGCATGGACTCTACGTTTACGTTTTACGACCAAGAAAACTTGCGAAAGGTTGCACAATTAGTTGTGTTCTGGACAGTCGACATGACCAGGATTGTGAGGCTAGTTCAAAGCGCTTACAGAGCAATTACAATGTAGATCCGTAGTACCGCTTCTCATAGGGCTTTTAGGGCTCATGGATAGAGTTGTTGTTGCCATATCGTCAGATACCCCAATTTTAAGCTTTCCTGAACAATTATCGTCCCAATTCACTCATAAGCAGAGATCAAAAACAACAACTGACTTCGATTCATCGGCACAAACACATCAAACAAATAAGACACTCCTACGAACGTGCGACATTCAAACAATGACCTTCGAGACGTGGCACCAAAATTATGCAAAACGATAAAAGCTTACAGCAAATTGCTATTAGGTACGAATCAAAACAGCAACACAAGTTTTCATTCGAAATCAGTAAAGAACGCACATTTCTGTCAAACCTTTCGAAGGCGTAATGTACTCATAGACAGTAGTCGAAAATGGCATGCAAGCATCGCATTCAAGATTCAGAACTCGTAATATCATGACTTCAAACACACCACAGTAATATACCAGATAGAAGCTCTAATAATAGTAATATCTGACAAATTGGTATCTACCAGACGAGATGTATTCCAAAACTTGCCAAACTGGACGCATTCCCAACTAAGACCATAGCAAAAACACAAGAGATCGATAAAAATACTTCAGATTGGAACAGTAATTCGACGTTTGAACTCTACAACATAAAAATACAGGCCGAATGTTGGTGTAAATTAAGGGAACAGAGAAAGTTTGTGCTTTCGAAGGCAAGATTAAAATCGCCTACGCACAGAGATTACTCTAGATCAGCTGTGCGCAAATGGAAACATACATACAGAAAATTCAAGATCCGCGGACTCTCTACATTTTATGTACAGAAATTGTGAGGTTGATACTCCAATTTAACATAAAAAAGACTGGTATTAGCAGGTGCAAGTTATTTTGAAATGAAAAAAAGGATCAGATCCCAAAATCCACAAAAAAATGCTCAGGCTGTGTATATAAGTTACGTGTGCATCCATCATAAATCTTCAAGATTTATGCGTAAATTAAACTAAAACACTAGCAGAGAGTGCGTTAGATGGCTAGTAGCAAGAGTTAAATTGAAGAAAAAATGAATATGCCGAGAAAATCACCAGATGGCATCCTAACCCGAACACTCTCGTATCCCAAACTTCGATCCAAACCCCTCTTTCGCCCGGGTTCAACTTCTGATATGGAAATTTCCACGTACAACATTAACACCAGAGATTAAGACACACCAAGGTAGGAATCAATTGTTTAACGACGGCCTAAAGAAAAAATAAATAAAATGGGACATTGTGAAAGAGGTACTTGCTGTGGCCGACCAACTCTAAACGCTTGAAGTAAGTACGAAAGGAACAAAGTCAAAGGAACGAAACCGAAAAACGGAAGAATGAAACAGCGACACAACCATCAGGAGGAGATAAAAGAGCCTAAACTGCTAACGGAAGAAAAATAAATAAATAATCATCGAGAAGTTGGAAGGGATCTAAATAAACAAAACAAAACAAAACAAAAAAAAACAAAAAAAGGGGGGGGGACCTTAAGACCAGCAGCCCTAATTGCGAACCGGAACACCGAGAAAAACCAGACGCCCGCAACTCTAAAAACAAACACCCGCGGACACAAGACCAGAACAACCGTCGGTAATCCACAAACCACCAGAAAAAAAAAAAAAAAAAAAAAAAAAAAAAAAAAAAAAAAAAACTCGTAAAGAACAGCAGATTGCACGGAGGTCACCAAACGCTGACACTTCCGACACCGGACGAGTCCACTCAGGACGCTAAAAACTCCCACGAAATGAACGACCTTCGCGGCACACAAAAATGCAGCCAAACTGCACACACAACACGCAGAACAAAGCAAAAAACAAAAAAACAAAAACAAAACAAAACAGACAAAAACAGGCACCGATCGATCGACAGCCTACAAGTACAACCCGAAGATAGTACAGAGAGAAGGTGCAGCAGCAGCAAGGGAGTGAAAGTAAGAAGAAGAAGAAGAAGAAGAAGAAAGGCTAGGAAGTCGGGATCAATGCAAAAGAGACGATGCTGAAGCAAGCAAACCAACGGAGCAGGAGGAGGAGGGAGCCAAACCTTCCTCTCTTGCTAAACCAGAACAAACTCTCTCTACACCAGTGAATGCAATGGAATGGAATGGCTGTCTGGCTGGCTTCACCTTCCTCGACCTTGAAGCTTCTTCACTCACACACACACTCTCTCTCTCTCTCTCTCTCTCTCTCTCTCGCCTCACTCACAACACTCACACAACAACAACAAATAACAACAAACAACTACAACAAACAACTACAACAACAAACAACACTGCCTGTCAGTCATTCAGTGACTACTGCCACTACTACTACTATTCCTCCACTTGTGAGCGACGACGACGACGACCCCCACCAGGACGACGAGGACGACAGCTTATGCACCTCCTCCCACCCCCACGTCCGTGTGAACGCGGTCCCTCAGCGGATGGATGAATTAATTTCTGGATGATTACCTGGAAGTGTTATAGATGGATTTTGGGATGAGGGATGAAGTGGGGTGTGTGTGTGTGTGTGAAGCGTGATTGGGCGATGCTGTGGGATTTGCGTGGCGGCGAGCCAGTTGGGGGGATGAGAGATAATCCGACGTGTCCGCCTGAATTAGGGTTACGGGCACGGACGGAGGGAGGGAGGGGAATGGGCTGCGAACGAAGAAGCCTACGTGGACCCCGTGCCAGGTTGGCGATAGGGGGTGGAACGACATGGGACGTCCGTTCGCAACAGCGAGTTGCTCCCCCTGGAGTTCGCTTCGTTCCCCTGGAGGACGTTCCCCAGGAAGAGACATTGATTTCTTTAAATGGTGATTTCACATCTGGTGTTTTCTATTTTTGTATAAACAATATTAATTAATTACCATCATGATTTAGTGGAAGAATTTTCATTTCCTTTTTATTTCAACTTTTTTACATGCGATGTTCATACAGGTCTATACAACCAATTCTATGCATTTTAAAGAATCAATAATGTACATATTTATAGTATTACAATCCATGGAATAGTTGTAGGTTGCAATGAGAACCGTACCAAATTAATTTATGTCAAATAAAAGAATTTTTGTACACCCGAAACCACATTATGTTACAGTGATTTTTTAATTTTTAATTTTTTGTAAATACAATCTTTGTTAATGCTGTTAGATTGGATTGCAAATCTACGGCTGTAAAATACAACTAAAATGATATCTCAGATATAAATGTTCAATCAATTTTATTTTTCCTTAAATAATATGAAATGTATATAATTAAACCACATGATGCTTCAAGAGGTAGCAAACCATTGAATCAAATCAGATTCTATCAAATATGATGATTTTGTCTTTTTTAAACTCAAAATGTAATTAGATACTGTTTTCAACAAAAATTGAACTTCTGTCTTAATTATTATATATATATATATATATATATAGATCATCGTTAATTCTTCCACAATATTTTATTATCATGACCAATTCCTTAAATGTTAAAAGTACAATATATTGATGGTTATGTCTGTTTGATACATGTTGATATTATCAATGTAGTAGAAATTTAATGTAAATAAAATGCTCTCAAATAAATCTTGTGATTTACTTTAGCTGTAAATTCTTTTCAGTGTGTAAGATTAATTTAGTATACAAATTTTTAAGTTATTATTATTTTTTTTTACAAGCACATATTCTTTATAAAAATGTACAAAAATCACAAATCAATTGCACATTTTGATGTTCCTAACATTGTTGTTGATATCATATTTATTCAAAATTCAATAGAGAAAAGATCAAGTTGGGTTTTTTTCTTTAGATTTGGAATTTAAAAATAATATAATTTACACTCATATAATATGTACTTATGATAGTTTATATAGAATGCACTCTCAAGAATATGTCAACCTACATCAATTTTTTTGTTATTGAACTTTGCAATTCTTGTTTAAGTGCTTTTATTAGAACATACTCATAACAATTGGATTTTTTGTAGAATATTTTAGATTTAGAAAAAATAGAATAATGTTAGAGATGAGTTGATTTGAAGTAAACAATGTATGTTAAACCAAAATTTGATGTAATTTGGTTCTATTATTTAATTGATTTACTTGGTTAATGATTTGTTGTTAAATATATATGTACACATAATAAATTATTGGTATTAACAATTTCAATGGGATATGTTAGATCTTTGTAATTCATGTATGATTTGTACTCTTAAAAATCAAAATCTCTAATTCAAGTATAAATAAATGTTTTATGAATGTATGTTTAATGATAATTAATCATTATACTTAAATGTTATATATAGCTACCATGTTTCATTTAAAAGGAATTTACTTCTAAACTTATAAATTTTAAAGAAAAAAGCTTTACAATGCAATGGTATAAATTAGTATAGTATTAAAAAAGAAAATTAGTAAGTACCAATATAATGGTAATCAATAGAATTTAAAACCAGTACAAATTACAAATATTTATGTTTAAAGCTTAATTACAGAATCTATCACTCATTTGCCAAAAAGATGTTGCAGGTCTAAATCTGTGATTTTACTTCTATTAAAAAGTACAAAATTTGGTATTGTGTAATGATTTGGTTACAATGTTTTTCTTTTTTTTCTTTTTTCTTTCTTTCTTGTGATATTATTATCTATATCATATTCTAGACATCTTGTGTAGAGTTATTTAATTAAATTATAATGTAATTGTAGTAACTAATAGTTTATTTTTTATTTTAAAAAAAACTTAATAAATTTACAGTTGAAATTAATTTTTTTCTAATTTAGATTTCTAATCCAAATAATAAAATTTTAAAGAAAATTACTATAAATAAACAAAGTTATATATATATATATATATATATCTATAGCTCCTTTATTCAATTAATTGAATTGTGTATAATTTTACATATTTTTAAAATTTAAAAAATAAATAGTCATGTTTCTTTCTAAAATAAACATTTCATCTAAAGGAAATATTTATGTGAATTACATGTTCATGAATAAAACACTATGTAGTATATAAACTTTTATTGTACCAAAAATATTAACAGCTTACATAAAAATAAAAATAAATTACTTACCCTAAAATAGATTTCAACACCTCATGTTGCTCAAGATGAAAATTGGATGCACTGCAGAGACTTCTCTATAAAACTAACTTGATCAGAGAAAGAAAATAGCATATTCAGGTTGTATATATATAGATGTATAAACCCACTTGTTTAAACTAAATCTTAACCTACTATAAATAAAACAATGACTTACAAGCTTAATGACACACGAAATTAACATTATTTTCTTCACATCTAAAGCATGTGTTGCAATATAATCCTTTGTGGGTGAGTGTGTGAGTGAGTCACAATTTGCATTTAAGTAGAAAAAATCACAAACAAGACTTGATGGTTTTGATGCTAATGCATGTGGAGCCTTTCACATGTTGTTGGTTGTTTGCTTCTCTTCTAGAAAGTAATCCACAAAAACCCTAAAAATGCATCTGTAGCCCAACTTGCGTTTGAGTTTGTTTTGTTTTGTTCTTTGGAGAATCATGGACAAGTGTATCACACAAAAGCATTCAATTCAATTTGCACCCACTTGTCAACACCAATCTTGACCATAACTTTAAATGAATGCAATGATTTTAGGGTTGATGAGAAGGGTTTGTTATAACAACTCCCTCAAAGACTGTCACAATTATAAAAGTTTTTCTTTGTAAATCAGTGATGCATATATATTCATGTATATATATGAATATAATCAAACACACACATACAATGTAAATAAAAAGAAAAAGAAAAACAAGAAGTAAAATATAAAACTTTGGGGCTATGCAAAATATTGTTTATGTAGCTCATGAAAAATGTGGATGGGTGAATTGTAATTGTAATATTTAATAATGAAATTAGAACCTTAAATATTACAATCTAAAGAGATCTCTTTAGATTCCTTCAACTTTTTACCATTAGTAAACGTTTATATTTGCACTTATTTTATGCTAGCTTGGCCATGGATTTTAATATGAAATGGAATAACGAGCTCATAATGATAAAAAGAAATATCTGTGAATCCTTTAGCCTGCAAGTGCCGATCATAAATGACGTGATTAAAACTTTTGAAATTTGAATACCAAATCAAGACTCTTAATTAAAAGAATATCTTAAATAAAAATAAAAATATTATTTTTATTATTTTAAGAAAAGAACTCTAGATTTCGAATTTCAAGGATTTGGTGGAGGTAAACAGGAGGTGCTTCTTTTCTTTGTTTTGCCTTTGTTTTTATTGCTCCCTTTGTTGAAAAACTGAAAAAAAAATCTTAAAATTTTCAGTTTTTAATATTAATACTTGGATGACATGATTTGCAAAAAATAATATGCACTATACAATATGGATTTAAAATATTCATTTTCATTTAGTAGCATCTTTAAAGTGGTTAATTTAGTTGATATAGACACAACATATGCTTCAATATACTACTTATTTGTTGTGGCTCAAATGTGTTTATTTTCTTATTCTGATAAAACCACCTATTATATGTAGTATTAAATCAACCTTTGCTAGAGTAGAATCAAGAAGCTACAACAAGAAAGTAGAATTGAAATTCAATTAATTAATATACTTTTAAAAAAAATATCAAAGATTAAAAGAGGTTTATTCTTATATAGTGTGATAAAAATTTGTTTCAAGTCAAATATCCAACATTTTATAATAAAAGAAATTTATAAAATATGAAGAAGTTTTATTTATTTATTTATTTATTTTAAAGTTTTTTAGAAGGAAAATAATGCTGAAAAATAATTGATTCTATTCTTTAGTTTATATGTTCTATTCACATCTTAATAATTATATATCAGATATCCAAATAATATGATCAAAAAATATTCTGAGCACAATCATTCAAAACACTTTTAGATAGATAAAGACCAATAGTTGCCTTACAAAATGTGTTATGTCTAATGACTTCATTCAAATTAAAAAACTATCCAAATTTTTAGCTATCTAATCAAAGCAAATAATCATAACCATTAATATCTCTTTTATTAGATAGGCAAAATTTATAAATAAAGTAACTATTAGAAAAAAATGATTAATTTGTAATTCTATTTTTAGTATGAATATATATGTGGAATGGACGGTCTTTTTTGTAGAGTATAATACATTTGGAATGGTAGTATAGATTAGAAATTCAACTGTGTTGTATATACTATTGAAATTAATGAAAATGTGGACGTAATAATAAGGAACTATGAACTGAATAACATGTACAATACGTTGAATGAATAAGGTAATAAGACACCCTATTACAGAAATAATATGCTATTTTCAATTGATATGTTTATCAAAAGGTAAAAAGATTAAAAATTAAAACTGTAAAATATTGGATTAAAAAGGTGCTGCAGGTTTGTTGTAGATTGTGTTGAATATTAAGAGAAATTTTTGTTAAAATTAGAGAAGATTCATTTGACTCTGTCAAGTTCATAGTAAATATTTGGTGTTTTAAAAATCACAACAGTAGAGTACATGTAAAAAGAATCTATATAAAGAGAAAGTGGAGGTTTGAAACTTTTTGGAAGCATGTATGTTCTATTGCACTTATATTTTGGATTTTTCATTTTACATGTGCAGCAGAGTTTTTGTATTTCTTGTTGAAAAAAGAGAATTTGTTTTAATGAAGAGAGAACCAACATAATGAAAGATAAGCAACATGGTTTTGTTTGAATGAAAGGAGCCAACTCCAAATGTCCTACATAATGTAATTTGGATTTAGTAGTTGTCAATAAAATATTAAACATATATATATATATATATATATATATATACACACACACATACATTAATGTACATGTCACCTTTGGAGAACTTAAAAAAATAAAGAAATAAACAAAAATATTTGAAACAAAATCAAACTCATTCTGTAGATCTGATCTCCAAAGCAACTCAACAGTGTTTAATCACTATATATATATATATATACAAGTGAGGCAGCACCACTTCCTTAACTGCTTTCCATGCTGAAGAATCTTGCAATCCTGTAGAAGGGGAGGAAAATTGGAAATGGCACCAAATTGGATCTAATCCTAAATTTGATCATTTGACTTCCTATTTTTAATACATGCAGTTCATGTATTTTTTCACCTTTGTTGTACATGTGTGAAGTCCACGCCTGTGTGTATAGAATGTTCACTTTGATAATCAATTTCTGATTCCGAAATGGTGTAGAAAAAGTTGAAATTCGTAATAAACCTTCAAGTTAAATATGTTTGCTTATTGCATAGAAAATTTAGGATCACGTTCAAAAAAATTCAACTCATGATAAAAAATTCGTACGCCTTCACCACCCATGATCTTGAAACAAAACCTGCACACCAACTAATTTCTTTATTACTTAATTTAACAATTTACTTGTTTTTTTGTTTGATTGTTTGTTTTAGTTGTTATGGTACACGATGGACAACTCCACTCTTTTGACTTTCCGAAGGTTCACCAACTGAAACAGCTTTCACGATTGGAATGGCCACAAAGGTTTACAGGAAACAAAATGATTTCAGTAAATGGTTCAGACTTTCCACTCTTGCTGCTACAGTAACTTGATTTCTGTCCATAACGGCAATCAAGCCGCACAAAACCCATCTTTAGACAAATGCGTCCCATCTCAGGCACAGTACAATAATGATATTGCAGCATATTAACAATGGCTTGCAAAGCGGCAAGCTCTTCTAAGAGAAAATGATGGCCACATCCATTGGAGAGTAGGAAATGCGATCCTAAGGAAAGGTCAAGTAACCAAAAAAAAAAAAAAAAAAAAAAAAAACACTAACCAAGGTTAAAGAAGGGCAATGTGTGCAAGAATGAACCGGCAACCATCTCCAACAATTAGAGATGGACACGCATTAAGATCTACGAATCCTGGTTACATTCGATATTCCTGAAGCCAACCACCGAGGATACATTAATGAAGTACCTCTTTCAGAAAATGAAATAGAATTTAGCCGCAGAAAATGAAGTAGAACTTTGGCTACCTCCAAAACTTCGAAGCTTTGTACTGCATCCCAATAGGACCTCATCCCCAAACAAAAACCTACTCATATCATGGTGAATGGCCAGTAACATCGTACAAAGCTTCTTCCCTTTTCTTGCCAATACAAAGTACAAAGAAGGGTGGAGCAAAGCATGTAGCATTTCGTGTAGGAATCAAAACCAAAGAAGAATTCTCCTATTTTTTTCTTTTTTTTCTTTTTTTCTTTTTCTGTTTTTTCTAGAATACACGGTCTCCCCTTACGCTTGCACAGGCTTTTGTGCCACACGCCCAGGGTGCTGAGAAATGGAAGCTGCATGAGCTTGTTGAGGAACTTTTTGAGGCGACCCTGCTGCAGTCGAGGTCTGCAATTGTTGGGACTCTTGCATTGTCCTGGAGGAACGTTGGACTTGTGGCGACGGAGACTCCCAAGCATAAGAGGGTTTAGTACGTGGAACCACAATATTGTTCGCCTGACCAGATAGATTCACTTGAGAACTGGTTTCATGACAAGCCCTCTTTGCGGCAGGTTCAGTGAGCAACGTGTTCGAGGTTAAGCCTGCTTCAGTTTGCTTCTGATCGATTTTGTCCATCGTCGTTTGGCTGTGCGCCAACGTGGTACTCACTGCACTATTCTCTGCATGTTGATCCTCGGATCGAGTGGTCGTATTACTGCTGTCAGAGAGCGCCAGAGACGATGGAGTGGGAACAACCGTATTTGTTGATGAAGAGGGCATGCCAATAGGCAAATCAGGGTGGTTTAGCTTGGCCTGTTGCTCAAGCATTTTTTGAAGTGATTGACCTTGAGCTTCAATGCGTAGTTGTAATTCTCGCTGGATCTGCCAGATGCCAGTTTAACTAAACTGAGTTTCAAAAAAATTATCAAAAGCTGGAGGTTCTAATTGGTCCAATGCAAAAACTAGATTTGATTCACAAACTGAATCGGGCTGTTCAACATGATTATGATTAGAAAAGTAAGTTTGGCAAATGAATGAAACCCATTTAAACATACCTCAAGCTGCTCATGAAGCTTCTTCTGGACCTCCATCTGCAATTGCAAGGCTTGTGCAATCTGGTAACTTCTGTACAAATAAAAAGTACCAATATATTAGCATGCTAATTGGCAATCGTTGTCCCTCACAGCCACCCAAGGCTGATGATGCAATGATATCTTGGGACGTAACCTTGGCAACGGAGCTATGATGTGAAGTGTTACTAATGTGTCATGAATTATCAACTTACGATCCAAGATCAAGAGACGTTAGCAGGCTGTCATGCTTTCTCCGTTCAGCTTTTGCTTCTGCACAATCGATGTCATCAAATCAGTTGAGCACTAACCAAGATCCATCAATTAATAATACATGACAAAGTGCAAAAACATCATCTACGTCTAGTCTAAGCAAAAATATGAAACAGCAAAATGAACCGCACCTTCCGAAATCTCTGGCATGTACTTTGCGAGTCGATACTTCTGAAATATATCAATAAAGCATCACAGGCAATTAGGAAAACCGACGCGTCACACAGAATAAGGATCGGGAAAGGTTTTCATATGATTCTGAGCTTTCACAACCAAATTTCTCACCCTGATTCATTTCGCAGTGAAGGAGAACAAACTATGTTTCACTAGTTACTCGGCATAATTAATGGACTTTCAATAAGTCTATAAATACTCTTTGTACATGAAGCAGAAACAATAAGCTTGTTAAGGAAATATTCAAGAGGACAATTTCATAACCAAGAAAAGGACCCAAAACCAGCATAGAGCAAATCCAAACCTGGAGATGACTTTTCACATGGTAGATCGTTATGCCTTGAACACCCATCAACCTCTGTACAGCCTTCGGAGTTGCACCTTCACAGGGGAAAGCAGCGAGTCAGGCATAACCCTTCCAACTAAATGTTGCAATTCTCATCAGCTACACAACGACCAACCTGAATCGTTTGAGCTCACTTACGATCTGGCCCTCCCAAGTGCGCCACAGCTATAACAAATTTCTCATGAAGCTCCGGAGTCCATCGCAACCGTGACTTCGAAGCCGACCCTGATGTACCAGCTTCTGAGGAAGATGGTTTTGGACTCTCAGCAGAAGTAGCACCTGATGAGCCTATAAATCCAAAACAATGGAGTCAGTTAGGAGCAACATTACCACGACATTTACGATCACTCACATAATCCATCAATATCTGCTGCAAAACAAGCATAGCCATCAGGAAAATATACGTGTAGCACAGAAAAGCCAGCCTACACTTGAATTAAATCAACAACCCTAGTAAACCTGTTACCTTAATACCTCTTAAGTTATGAAACATCAAAATGTGCACAGTATAGAACAAATACCATACTTTGAAAACCTCTGCTTCAACATAGTGGGATGGGCAGTTGGAAACTCACTTTTGGGACGTTGTTCAGTGGTAGGTGGCCGTGAAGCCACAGGCTCGACCTGGAGGGGCGTCTGAAGTGGCATATACTTAATGGTATGGTTTAAGGTCTGCCGTTTGAAGAAATAAAAAAAACATAATCGAGACGTCAGACAACTCGGTTCGAATCAGAAATTCACAGAAAACAAAGGCTCTCACAAACGCACCAAAATTAACGAGTTGCATCAAAATCTTACTTCAATGACACCCCTGTATGTAGCTCCACATAAAGGGGGCTCGCATTAAGAAACGCAAGTCACAAGTCCAATCCCCAGAACCCGCTTGAAAACCGAACCCCATTCAAGCTACCAACTCATGGACCACGAAGAGATTATACAAAAGAATATCCTACATCCATTGTTCTTCTCAAACTCTAATTACTTTGTAAGTACATAAAGGAGAACATTCCAACTGCTATTCCAGGGAAAATTGACCTGAGACTTGACAAAATGCACCAACACTCAAAAAAACCCATCATAAATGAAAGACTTCAACAAATGTGGCTTCATTCTGAGATACTCAATGGAATAAAGGGTGCGCTTGATAGACTAAAAGTGGTACTACCACTACTGGATTCAGGATCCTAAGTGACCATCTATCTCTCATATCGAAGCATCCTTTCATATCAAGTTTTCTGAGTACATGGGCTGACATAAAGGAACTTGCTATAAGGACTAGAGACTATCAGACCCTGCATCCTTCTAACTCTACAAATATGCACCGAAATTTGACGTGTACATATACACGCCGTAGGGGTTCAAGTCCTACAAAATAAAAAGTTCCCATTCTGTTCTGAATCCCCGCACTCTTCCACTCCATACTATTGGTTTGAATCATCTATGTCGTTAAAGATAAACATCATGTTTCTCCCATCCGTTTCCCATCACTGCTTAATTCATGTAGCTGTTTAACTGTCATGCTAAATCCTGTCCAATATAATTTAACGTTCTATGACCCAAGTCACGAGCAACTGCTGAAAGAGGCCCTCACGCTCGAGACTTGCATATATGTGGATTTGTGTGGACAGAGTAGCAAGAGAAACTAACCTTCCCATCATCTTGCTCTACATCAATAAGCTGAGTCCAGCAACTGGCAACTACGTCCTCTTCGGGCACGAGCTGGTTCCAGATCAACCATTCCCTTCCAGCCCCAAACAAATCAGTCTCTGGTTCAGCCATTGGCACGGCAGCTAATGGCCTCTCTTCCTGAGGCAAAGCCGCCTCCTCCTCCGGGGGTTGCAGTAAATCCTGATCACAAAACATAAAGCTCATGTCACTTCCCTTCTCTAACACACACACATCCTATCACAAATCCTAAGAACCAAGAAGAGAAGGTGACTTCGTCGAAAACACTAAACAAAATGCAAAATCCTCCCCGACATACAAACTACTAAAAAGGAACTCAAAAAAAAAGCCCGACACCACTTCGCCAGCCTGAACCATAACCTCAAAAGCTCCAACATCCAATTGAGTCCAGCAAACCACTACTACACCAAACCAGCTAACTAACACCTATGGCGTTGAACAAAACTCACCGAATTCCACATGGGGGTCGAGAGCGGGCAGCACCGATTATTCGAAGCTCTCAAAAAAGTCCAGAAAAAATTCCGAATTTTTCCAAAAAAGGAACCCGGATCGGAAGCACGGTGTTCACATTCAATCTCTCGCAGCGTTTCTTCGGCGTGGTGGTGGTGGTGCCGCTGCGCTAGCGAGGAGGGGAAATCGACGAATCGGGTGGCATTCGACGAGGACCAAACAATGGAAAGACACAGAAAAAGCATCTGGTGGAGCGCGGTGATCATGAGCAACCCCCACGGGGGAGCGCGCACGTGAGATTCTTCTCACCTCTCTCATCTCGTCGACTTCTTTGCCAGGCCTTCCAGCGGAAGAGAGAGCCTCAGAGCCAGATCCCCAGAGCCAGAGCCCCAGAGAGATCAACGTGGGCCTCTTCCTCCCCGAACGAACGAACGAACGATTGTATGGATGGATGAATAACTAGATGAACGAAAGATTCTTTCGACGAACGCGATCGTTGACGGACGGAAGATGCTCCTGGAGGGACGTGGACGAACGGATTGAATCGTGGACGTTGGAGGGACGTGGACGAACGGATTGGATCGCGGGTGTGGATGTGGACGAGCAGAGGGGTGTTGTGTTGCTCAGTCAGCCTGAGCGAGAAGTGGTTGGACGAATCGTCCACTGGACGACGAGTATATAGAAATGGGGGCTGGTCAGGAGGTGGGACTGTTTCTGCATTTCTTCCAGCTTGGGATTACCCACTAAAACTTTAAAGAATGCTGATGAGCTTTCTGGGTGGGATGTTTTTGTGTTTTTTTAAGTGTATTGTGGGTATCTCTTATTGAATTATATCATGGGTATTATCTTCTACAAGTATATATATATATATATATATATATGTGTGTGTGTGTGTGTAATTGTTTTTTCTATCCAATGTCATGCCTCTTTTTTAAGGGATTTTAGCAATACCAGCTGTGTAAGAATAATATTATAATCTTCTGTGAAACTTGTGATTTTTTAGGGTTTTATTTTTTATTTTTTATTTTACCTGAATTGTGATATTATTCAGTTCAGCAAGATAACTCAGAATATAAAAGACTGTGAGCAAGTTTAATTTTTTCTAAAATTATGTAGAAGATTGATAAGAATAATTTTTTGTAATTTTAAAATATATTGAAGGAATAAAAACGGGTTCATATCCTAGTATTTTAACTTTATACTCATCAATGTATGAGGCCATAATTTCAAGGGACATTGGTTATAGACTCTTCTACAAGATTCTACATTTTTGTAACTATCAATTTTGTAAATTTTAGGATGCATCTATAGAACATATTTTACACACTTACATGAGTATCTTATAGAAACTATTCTAGTAGATTGTGCAATAAAACACAAGATGCTTGAATGACAATCTTCTAGCTTTGCAAGTAATAAGAATAGATCCAGGATTAATATTATATTTGGTATAATCAGTTCTTAAGTAGAACCTTTTTGATTTTATATCGTTGGAATCTTTTAGGTATCTTCATGTAGCTATTTTTTTCTTTCCGTAGAATTATATGGAACAAATTTGAAGTAAGACATCACATATACAGTCATTAAATTATCTATATATGTATATATAATTTTATAACCAGTAATTGTTTTTTGAAAACTATCATAATGCTTTAGAGTTTATGATTGTTCATCATTAATTTAAACTTGATTTTTATTAATTGTAGAAACTTTTGAAAAAATAAATCTGCATTCTTATTATATATATGTATATATATTCTTAATTTTAAAAAATAATTAAAAGAATTAACATTGCTATGTTTAACTAAAATACAACCTAAAATAATTAAAAATTTTATGACATTGATGTCCATCCACAATAGATATTATATATATGCAACTTTGCATTCTTATTAGTGAAAAATTAACTTGTATTTATTATATTCTATTATTTATTTGAGATTAATGATTTGAACACAAATTAAAGATCCCAAGATATTCCTTTGCAACATTCATTTTTTTGTTTGCAGTTTGCTAAAAAGCATTCAGAATTACCAACTAATATATATATTTATATATATATATATTAGAGGATAGAATATATTTGTAATTTATACAATACTAATTCTTAAAATTTCACATACATTTACTATGCTTCTTCAGCCTCATACACAACATGATATTTTGGTTTCAAGAATTTTTTATAAATCACTCTCGTAATAAAACAGATTCATTATTATTTAATAATTTTATGATATTCAAATTTATTAAGACTTGAATATATTTAAATTATATCTCAAAAGTACATAAAAATGATTTTATACATAAATGGACACACATTTCATTTTATCATACTGGTTTTAGTATTTTAATTGCAACTAAATGCTATGAACAGTAATTCATTACTAATAAATACAATAATAATAACCCCTTTGATTGACTTAAATTGAATTTGTACCTTTAATTTATGTAGCTTTTAATTTACACTTATTGACCATAGTATTAACTTGAGTCCACATGAGATGTTTTTACAGCAAAAACGTGATAATTATAGTTTACAAGGAACTGACAAGACATATCTTTAAGCTTTAAGGTAGAATATGTCTCCAAAGTAGAAAAATTTATTAAAACTCACATAAACTATTTTTGAAATTGACAACACAAACTTTTGCAGTCTTTTATAACCAACCATGCAATCTAAGTAACCTTTAACAACAGGATTCTGAAACAAAAATTGAAGAGCACAACAGAACCTCTAATTTTTTTGGTCATTATGAGTAGTGGTGAGAGAAACAATGAAATCTCAAACTAAAACAATCTGTGAGCCCTCTGACGGGGTCGTAAACCCCCTGCATCTCATCTCATGAGAGTAACTCCTGAATAGCAAGCACATGTTGCAACAAATATATTTATTCATTGTCCATAACAATTGCAGACTCTCATCCAGTAAACTACCCATTCTACAGTGGAGACAATAATCCTCACTTAGAGGGAGTCAACATCTCACATAAATGGTGTGGAATGCCAACCTCTCTGGCTCAGTGTTCTCTGTAAGACTATATCTGCACAGAAAAATTCCAATTACTTTGTACAAACTAAAGCTATCGTTCACTGAAGTTTAGGAACAAACAAACGATCTGTTCTGAACAAAACACAGTAGGGAGCAAGCTTACATCATTGGGCTGTTGCGTCTGATTCTCTAAATCCTGAAGAGCTCTGTGTCATCCAAATGGCAGATTTTCATGTGACTTGATGGTGAAAAGAATGCTTGGTGTGCCGCTATCTGGGCCCTGACAAGTGAATGGCTTCTATGTCCCATGAAGAATCCTCAACAAGTTCGCAGAACCTCCGTGGGAGCAGTGCTTCCCTGCTCATACGGCTCTCCATTTCACGCCATTGCTCCCATCTCTCTGCGAGGCCATCACCTTCCAGCATTCGCGCCACATCCAGCATTTTGGGGCGCTCTGCGGGGAGGACTTGGGTACATAGCAGTGCCACCTGTATAGGAATATTGATGCCATATCAAGAATGTTAGGAGTGTTGGAAGAAGACAACAAATTGTCTCAGAGATGGATCCATTATTAGAGGAAATTTTAAGGCTTTGTACCTGCACCATCTCTTCAAGCTCCAGTGAATTGTACTCTGACATGAGTTCTGAGTCCACCAGTAAATCTAGTCTCTTCTCGGCTTGAAGTTTCTTGACCTAGTAACCAAACAACGATCGTCTATGGTCATAACTGGGTCCTAGAAAATTGATCAGAAAAAATATATTCTGTCAATATTTTCGAATGCCAATCTGCACATGTTGCATTCGAGGATAGTAGCCTTACCCAGTCGAGGAGCATCATGTCGTTCTGGCTTGACAGCCGTCCGAACTCAAACGCCCTTTGCCCCGTAATGAGCTCGAGCAAGAGCACACCATAGCCAAATACATCTGTCTTTTCCGAAGATTGACCAGTGGAGAGGTACTCAGGTGCAATATGTCCAACCGTTCCACGAACTGCAGTAGTTACATGAGAGTCACGATGGTCCAACAGTTTGGCCAGACCGAAGTCTCCAACTACTGCTTCAAAGTCTTCATCAAGCAGTATGTTGGCCGCCTTCACATCCCGGTGAATGATTTTGGGGTCGCAGTGCACATGCAAGTAGAGTAAGCCCCGAGCGGCTCCCAAGGCAATGTTTTTGCGTCTCGGCCAATCTAATGCTGGCTTGCCCCCAACAGTATCTAACAAACACAAACAAAAGAAATACAATGAGTAAATATTTCTGTAATTTACGAGCAGGGAATTGTTAGGCAAACTGCTCACGCCTACAATTAAAGCCCGGATTCTTGGGGAACATGATCGTTCTTGGGCAACCTGGTATTCACATGTGAGGGAAATTAATAGTGAGTAGCTTCTAAAGAATTCGTTAGACAAAATAAGAAATTAACCTACCTCGAAGACGAGATGCTACACTGCCATTGGGCATGTAAGGATAAACAAGCAGCCGTTCAGAGGGAGTCATGCAAAATCCTCGCAAGCGCAGGAGGTTTCTGTGAACAGCTAATGAGATCATTTCAACTTCAGTTTGAAATTGCATTTCGTGACCAGGACTGCCTTCACCCTTCAATCGCTTGACAGCCACTACTGTCCCATCAGATAGGTGGCCCTTGTAGACATTCCCAAAGCCGCCTCTACCGAGTATATTCTTTACGCTGAAATTGTCAGTAGCTATCTGAAGTCCCCGAAATGAAAATTTCTTAAGCTGACCCAGTAGCACATTCGGATCTTGTTGTTCTGTTGCATTGCAATCAAAGTTTTCAAGTGTGAAACAAGGATGCTTTTGCAAAGTAACAATAAATTCGATACAACAAATAGACCACATTTCTAAACTGAATGAAAATGTTCAGCTATTTTTCTTTTTATAGTAAGTTTCACCTCTAGGATGACGAACACGACGACTTGGATGATCAACTAGCGCAACGAAGATGGTTTCTTTCATCCACTTAAAATGGTTTCATGGTGATTGACGTAAGACTTGGGCATGGAAGGACCGCTAAAAACATTTTACCATTTACATCGAAGAACACTTGTTTGGCATTACGACGACGCCACCACAGGGAGCCCAACAGGAGTGATCCGACCAACACTGCTGCTCCCAATGATAAACCGGCCGCTACAGCAGTTGTGTTTGATCTCCTGTTTCTGCCTGTAGTCATTAATTCATGCTGAAGGTAAGTACATGAATACATGTACATCCCTCTCCTGACATATGCCGTGACAAATTTCTTGGTAAGCACCTGTCGTGGTTATTACAATATCTATTCTTCAAATATCAACAACAGAGCTGGAAGGAATTAAATTAGAATGAGCTAAGAAGAATCATCTGAGAGAGGCCCCCCGATTGGCCATGAAGATCTTGTAATGTACCATCTATCAAGAATTTACAAGCCTTTGTGGATTGATCGCAGATGTAGTGATCCCCGAGCCTCCAAGCCAGTAGTCTTAAAATAATTTTCATAAATATTGCAAACTCTTCAATAAATAAATACCATAGTGCAGGAATCATGAAAAGATAGGACAGAAACGAACCATCGACGACATTTATGTTCGCAGGGTTGGGCAGTGGAGGGTCACCGGGACACTCTTTTCTAACAGCCCATCCGCACAAATTCGGATTTCCATCCACCCTGAAAGACGTTCGTAAATGACACCCAGATCATCAAAGATGTCAGTAGCTATTTGTGAAGCATATCTCTACTCACTCTGACAAATATTGACATAGAATCATCCAGTGCTACACAATAGGTTGCCCGATCCTAATCTTCCCATATCATCGAGCCCAAAATATACAAGGAATTATGTGTATTCCCGCATCTACTTCCTTGCAACTCGTGTAAATTCATAAGCATGTTAGCTCGCCCTTCTGTAACTACAAATCATGCATTTGATTCAGACAAATGAGAGGTTCAATGTATGAGGTGATTCAGCTTGATTTGTTAACTAGCAATGTTCAGAATCCTTACATTAAATTTTTCAATGTCTGATTAGGAACAAAGCCTGACAAGCTGTTGAATGAAACATCCCTGGTATCGAAACAAGAACAATAATCAGACTGATAAGTAAAGTTCAACCGGGTAGAATGTTGCACACACAAGCGTCACTCAACCATAAATTGTCTGCACGTACGCATTTTCTCACATCACAATCACATCCAGTGAAGAAGTTTCCAAGGAGTCAGTGTGCGAGAAACTAGAGCTCACAGTGATTGTAATGAAGACATATTGGCAACGAATACTGGAAAGCTTCCATTGAAGTGGTTCCCTCCCAGATTTCTGTCAAAACCACACGGGAAGTGAGCTACATCGCCCCAATTTGATCTCCCGACTACTTACGTGGGTTGACCAACACAAGAGAGGGCCAGCATCTCTTTTGCATCACAGGGGGAGTAGTGGCAAGCTTTCAGAAAAGGTATATTCAATGAAACTAAATACCGAGAAAATCAAAATGAGAGTAAGATGTCGGATTTTTTTCTGCATCCAACAAGAAATTTAAAAATAAATAAAAGAAGAAAAAAAAGAAAAAAAGAAGAAGAAGTGAATACATGGAGCTAATCCTAATCAGAAGAAGATATCAACAGAAACACTGATCGCTTGAAGCCTCTTAAGGAGTGAAATAGTTTCTCACAAAGTTATTAGACTTGTCAGGTTCATAAGAGCGCTGGGAATTGCACCAGAGAAGTCATTTCTGGACAAGTCCAAAACCACAAGTTTTGAAAGATTTCCAAGCTCCGAGGGTAATTCGCCGGATATCGAGTTGTTAGTAATTATCCTGTCAGTTTGCAACCAAAGATCATGAATCTTTACCTTGATAAAAAGAAAAAGAAAATGATGGCATTGCAGTCACTTCAAAATAGATACATGCTTGCAATGTAGATTTTCCTGTGAGTGAGGTGAAGGTACGTACAGGCGGTGAAGATTTGAGAGGCTTCCAATAAGAGGAGATAAGTTTCCAGACAAACCATGAGAAGGTAGCGCCCTGCAACACGCAATAAATCTGAGTAATTCTTGTAAAATTCCAACACATGCCTCCCTTAAGCTGAAGTTCTTGTGACAATAATGTTTCTTATCGGGCGACTGTGAAGTGTTCTGGGTGTCACTTACAAGCCGTAGACAGAATGGTTAGCATCACACTCCACAAAGGCGAAGGTGCAAGGTGATAGATAGTTCGGATCCCATGACGCAAGTACGTTCTCGGGATCCTCAAATGCTTGCTTGATTGCAGCCAAAGACCTCACTGCACATTGGCTTCAGAATACAACGTTAATGCCCTGTAACTCAGAGTCAGTCCTAAGCCACATTCCACTTTTGCACAACAAATTTCTCAAAAGTGCGTAAGTTGCCACCGATTACCATACCCCATTACCTAGTGCATTTCGATTGACTGATAATAGTCCTAGTTTTCTTAACGCTCACGGGAGAGCCTAATGTATTTTTAGGCCACTGCACTCCAAAGGTGAAAATCATGCACTCTGCATTGTAGTAATTTAATTTGTGCCTCTCCATCATCAGGCTTAAGCCACAGAAAAACACTTTCGGCGATTGTCCACTCCTCTGCTAATTATGATTCTAAGGCGATATCAACAAAATCATGTGAAAATGAACGATCATACCTTCGGGGTTTCCGTCAAGGCAATGAACATGTGTTAGGAAATTGAAAACTTGGAATAGTGAAAGTGCTCCACACAGCCACTGCAGTATTCCAAGAGCAGGAACTTGAGTGCCGGCCTTGTGTCTAGCTCTTCTCCCCATTGTTTGCAGCTGCTTCACATATTATTGCTGCTATTGTCCACATTGTAGGGCGATTATATCAGCTAACCTATCCGTCGTCTATCATTTATAATATTCTCTTGTCCACTCGTTTTATTCTTCCGAAGAAACTGTTTCACTGCAGACTGCATGATAAGACACTCCATCCTCGAATAGTGGACTTTGCGCCATCGCGCAATCAAACTTAATCCTCCTAATTGAACGCCTACAATTCAATACCGCGGATTTTGCAGACTTCAGAATTGCAATCTCCAAGCTGAACAACGGCGTGATCCTGGAATGTACATAGCATTCAAAATGAGGACGGCGAAATGCTCCTGATGCAAGATAGGATCCTATCTTGATGCTCAACTTCAATTTCTCTTTTATTCTTTTCCTCGCTTACAAGATTCCATAGAGTCGAAGCCAGAGTTAGAAACCCAGTGGTGGGTTCACAACTTGACACACCTGCTTTAAGATCACGACGAGCACCGATTGAGCTCCAAACGTAGCGTTCCTTGTTCTCCATTCTTTAGCTCAACACCATTACAAGCGCCAGAGTGCGCTTCAAAGACACCAATCTTTCTCAAACGTAGTGTTGCCAAACACTCTAGTGATCTGATAAGTGCGCTTGGAGTATTGAGGATATAAAAAATCGTCCGACGCTAGTGGAAGGCACACATGCATCTCCGAAAGCGCTTGCAATGCTCTCCACTTGCAGAAGCACACCATGGTACACATTTAAGGAACCTCGATTAGAAAAAGATAATAGTTAATCAACACACAAACGCGCTATTACTCCACTGTCAGGGGCTTCACTGCGAGAAACGAGTGCAGCTCTGTAGCAACAAAAAAGACCCCTCATTCACTCTTCTCCTCTCCTTAACTCCTCGGTTTCAAGCTTATCGACTCACACCTGTAGAGATTGCATTTTCTTCTCAAATACACACACACAGAGATCCTCTAAAAGATTTTTTCAAAACTCAGTGAAGCTGTACACAATCCTCACTTCGTCAAATGGGACAGGGCAAAAGACCCTCAGTGATACCGAAACGCAACCAATGCTACGATCTACGAAGGCAAGGTAGCCGTCTCATCAACCCCATGTAATGACGCCCCTGACGCCCCAGCGGCTCCGTCTAGTTCGTAGGACAGCCCCCTGCTTCTCACACGCAGAATACATGTACAAAGGTACAATTGTTCCCTGTGCAATGACAACGGTAATTCAGAGGTATGAAGATCGTTTGGAGAGCTTTCCCTTCACCAGCTAAGCTGTAACTCGTTCAAGACGAGGTGACAACCCATGTACAGTCTTGATCGCCAGCTAGAGCTTTGTAGGTCAGTGGCTAATGACAACGTCACTGAACCACCCCAGCGAGTCTGACATAGTACTGATAATCCTTCTTTGAAGCCATCCCTCTCTCTCGCCCTCTCTGACAAACCGCCCTGCTCCTCTCTCAAAAGCGCGCACACACATCTTGCCTCGGCACACGAGCCTTCAAATCTCACAGTAGAGCTGCAGGGTCTGCGTTTCAAGAAGACTGAGGAAACCTTCCCTTGTGCATGCAGTAATGACTCTACACAGGTCCTGAACTTCGTCCACTGAGGACAAATGGCATGCATCACAACTTGGGGATTTGTACACACACACAAACTTGTGTAGGCTCACAGAGGCTGTGAAACAATTTTCTTGTACATTTGGATACATGTTTGCTATCTCTACAAACCAGCTGCATTGACCCCATCTTCCAAGTACAAATGCAACTGCTTCCTTGTCACTGTAGACAAATCCTTCAACTCCATCTTAGTGAAGCCCCCTGCAATCTTACTGTTGCTTCCAACTTTACTATCCACCTGTGGAGAAACCTCACTAGAGATCATGCTTTCACTCCATGTGCTCAAGCACAACATACCTCCCCCACATGGGCATGGATTTGATAGTCATTTCTATGATGAGAATGAGCAACTCAACTCAATAGGTGGGCTATTTGACAATCCTGGATATGGTGTGAACTCAGCAACTCCTTCCCAAGCTAAAAAATTGATGCTCAACAACAGTTACTGGGTGTATTTAGAAGAGCCTGCTGTTTTGACTGAGTTGGGGGAAAGCTTGTGAGTAGCAAGGGCTTGTTGACCAGGAAGTCAAGCCTGGTGGGTGCCCCAGCTGAGACTGGACTGAGAGGGAGAGAGAAAGCATGAAGCCCAGTGGCTGTTAGACTGTTGAACACCCCCTTTGATCACATTCCATGCATATCATCCCACAAGCTCACTAGTAACATTTTTCCATTCTAAAGTCCATGGGGGCTTAATCAGCATGACAGGCTACTTACAAGCTAGCAAAAGGAGCTTTGCAGGGATACATATCATGGACATGGACCACCTACACAAAAAAAACTCCTATTAAGTTGTATCAGTGCCTCTTTTCAATTACAATTGCGCTTAAGCTGCAAGCTCATAACACTGCTTCCACATCCTTGCAGTGCAGCCATCAAAGGTTGCTATTTAACCCTGACTTACAGTGTGGCTTTTTTAATAGTTTCTTATTCATTTTTGATGTGTGTGTGTGTGATATTATTTTTTTGTACTTTGCATTGATGTTGCAAATGATGGTGCTAAATGGGCTGAAACATTTAGAGTATATATATATATATATATATATATGTATATATATTCACACACACACATGTGAAGACATACATAATTATAAAGGTCTGAGATCAAGTGAAGAGTGAAATCAGACAGATTTGCTATTATATTTGACTTGCTTTCTTTACTTGCTGTGAGTTAGTTTAGATGAAGTGACAACAGGGTCTTGCTTGATACACTACTGCCCACCTCTGATGCACACACAATTGTGCTGTCTTTGTTGCATGGGCTCCACTTTAAATGCTTAAAAATGGGTTTTAAAAAGGACAGAATTCTGTTTGATGTTTGCAAGCCCATGTGATTGGGTATTTATTTATTTATTTTCTTCTGTTTGAAGCCGTTCTTCCAAGGCATGAGAGAGTAGGAAAAGGAGAGAAAAGAGATCACCCTTGAATGTCCTCATTTTTTGTTAGGATTGCATTTGATTGACAGAGAATGATAGTCATATGTTAACAAATGTTTATATATATATATAGATATATATATATATATATATATATATTGACCATTATAGTAATGAGTGTTGGAGATTAGAGTATCAACATAACATAAAGTTGGATTTTTAATGTTAATATCTATTTTTAAAAATAAAGTTGATTTTAATGTTAATGTATTTTTTTAGTAAGTTTTTAATGGTGTTATAATTAATGGCAACTGATGTTTCTGATATTTAGGAGGTCTTTTATATGTAGAAGCTCACTGTAAAAGCCCATGGTCTAAAAGTCTTGTAAAAGTTCTATGCTTGGTAAAGAAAAGTTTTCCTTTGAAAGTTTTATCTTTTAAAAGTAGGATAAGGTGAAAAGGGACCATAAAATGGATCGAATTGTTTTTTTAATGTAATTTTAAATAGGAAAAAGTTATACTTTGATTCTAAACATTTTTTAAATTATTATTATAAATAGATTCCTTATACAAATATTTTTAAAGATTTGAAGTGTGACTTCTCAGTTCTTAGTAACAACCACATTTTAAGGAGGATTTAAAGCATGCTTAGAAGATAACCTTGTTCATGGAATATTAGAAAAAAAAATAAAAATAAAAAAAAAAAAAAAATTGTTTCACATCAGATTTTCCTCTTACAAGCTTATTAATGATTTTAAAAATATGAAGTCAATTAAATAATATTTATTAATTTTAGTCTATTGTAAGATTTTAAATGATACTTTCTTATCTTCTCTTGAATACTTAAAGACCACTTTTGAAAAAAAATTTAATTTGAATGGCAAATGAGGTCTGTCACTATCGAATCTAAGATCCACATAAATTTTATTGGTAACTATAATGTACAACCAATATATAATTTTTACAATATATATATAAATTAATAGAACGTTGTTTTTTTTTAAGGATTTTTTACATCTGAGTTGTATGTTTCAAGTTTGTGCAATTAAATTAGCATAATTAAAAATTATACATGTATATATATATATATATATATATAAATCAATAATAAAATTTAAGATAATTAGAAGGGGTAAGATATTTCATATATATATATATATATATATATATATATGATTGTCTTAAAAAAAATTATAAAACACGTTTATAATGCATTGTTTCATAAAAATTAGAAAAAAAGTACTAACATCTAAAAAGTCAATTTAATAAATAATATTTTTATACAGTTCAATTTATTTATTTATTGATTGAAAGAAAGGAAGAAAGGAAGAAAAAAAAGTACATGTTAGTCCTTATCAACAAACTAAAGAAACTCCGAATCTTAAGTGGCATCATAGATATATTGAATTTCAATATAAATAAATTATGAAATAAAAATTAATATTGTAAAGAAATAATAAAGTATTCAAGAAAGAAAGTTTAAATTAAAATTAAAAATTTGAGATAAATATGTAATATAACACAATACAAATCTTGCCTTCTTTTTGGATTCAAATTAACATAATTGAATTTTATAACTACCAATTTAATACCAATTTAATACCAATTTAATACCAATTAACTTTTGTTCTATTTTGGTGGGTATTAAATTGATATTATAATCAACAATTTAATTTAATTACCAATATAATACCAATTCATTTTTGCTCCATTGTGGTGGGTAGCTCAATAAGTCATAGTGATTAAAGGCCAATGGAGTATTGAACATGGCCTTTGCCAATAAGTACACACTTCTATTTCATCGCAATACAAGTATTTGTGTAGTATTAATTGTGGATCTATCTAATTAAATTTATTCATTAAAAATTTGAAAAATAATAAATGTACTAGTGTAAACAAAATAATAATCGTTAAAATATACATTCATTATATAATTATTTATTTATATATCATGTGATAAAATTACTATTTCTTTAGCAATTAGTTACACATTAATTTGAATATGGATATACACACACATGTTATCAGAAATATATACTAGAATGTGTGACTTTGCAAAATTTTAATGACATTCATATGAAAAAGAAACCAAATGTTTTGGGATATGTCCATTCACCCACTAGTGCTCACAAGTGTTTTATTTTTGCTCCTTTCACTAGGAGACAATATCATTTAAATGGGAGAAAGGCAAGTTTGGAAGGTCTAAAAAGTTATACACATGCATGTGTATATATAAATAAACACACCTATTTAATGCAAAAACGTATTTATTATTTGATTTTAATTTTGATATGACAACTTATGAATTCAACTATGGCAAAAAGTTGCTCACATCATTGTGTAGGTGTAGCCAATCATGGCTAACTGTAAACCATATTATTTTATTATATGGATTTTAAATTAAACCAATGTTTTCTTTATTTTTAAAATCTTCAAAAAGGAATAACTATATCATGTGAAGAGTCAAAAATTGTGGGATAAAAAATTGGAATATTGGACTTGTTCCTAATACTTTAAAGAATACTGCAGTAGTCCTTGATATTTAATTTTAAAACAGAGGTCATATCCAAGTTATGCCAAACTTTTACATCCAACAAAGCTTTTTTAAAAAATGTTAAATTTAAATTCAATTGCACTTTTTATAGAAATTTCTTATTATTTTATTGTTATAATTTTTTTATTCATATTTAATTTGTTTGTATCCTTTACTGTGAGTGTATGCAAAATGTTCTGAATGCTTAATAATAGATCTGAAAAATTAGCTGAAACTTTAAATAAATTGTGAACAATATTAAAGTTTTATATTTGACCACTATTTCCAAGAAAATATCAACTTGATATTACATAACCATATATATATATATATATATATATATATATTCTACATTCATAATAGAATAATAATATTGAGAATTATATCTTGCTCTATTTATCATACTTGAAACATGTTATCCACCCTAACCAGTGTATCAATATATCCATATAAACACCCACAAATACATTCAAGTTTACTTCCTTCCTAATTTGTCTTTGAAGGTAGTGTTATGATCAATATTCAAAATTGATAAAGTGAATCAAACCTTTTATTGTCATATCTATGTAAAAATAACTTTCTCCATTCATCAAAATACAAATGAAAAAAGACTCAAAATCACCTCTATCACCTCTTATTGATTTCTATGATTATAGAAGCCCAACATTGGTGATGGGAACTTTGAGGATAATTAGAAAAACCTTAATTAGGAAAAAGAGTGGATTAATTCAGTGATGAGACCCCTCACACGCTCCAGCAGTTATCAGAAGACAAGATCCAAAATAATATATAATGTGTATATTACACTACATCAACAACAACAACAAACTGCAAGGCTGTACCCTGATTAGCCCACTAAGCCCAGTCTAATGCATGCACTAATCCTGACATTCTGTTGCAAGATGTGACTTGTATTTCAGTGTACCACTGCGCTAATTGGCACATGCCAGTGGTAGTTTGTACCACAAGGGTACATGAAAGATTACTTGATTTATTAAGATTTATTAAGATTTTGATATATATTTTTTAATGTTATTAACAGGAATATTTTACAGATGAATAGATTGTCTGGAATGTACCCATTTTTCTTGGAATTTGTAATGGGTTTTGAATGAACAAGAGTGAGAAATGAAAACATGCTTGCGGTTTGGTTTGGTTTGATTATTGTTTTCCTCAAAATAGTCCAAAATTAAACTGCAAGTTTGAATGTAACTCTTGGCTAATACATCATCCAATTTCCAAAGTTTCACACTCTTGATTAAAAATACCAAAAGGAATGAATATTTTTTTTGAGGAAGTTGCAGTAAAATGTTTGAAGGTGGTTTGTTTACTTGTGTGGGTGGGTAAAGTATTTGTTTTCTGTTTGTTATACTCTTTTGTTTATTCATTTATTAAAAGAATGATTCACCTCATATTGATTGATGTCA